AAATTTATTACTATTTATTAGGTTTGGCCATCTTTGCATCTATTGCTAATAGGAGAACTTTTTATTTTTTATTTTATTTGATGGAATGGTTGTAGGAGACTTAAGTTTCAAGTTAGACAGTAATGGCTCTAGCATGCAACCAAACTTCGATTAAATTAAGAAAAACTTTTTTTTGTTAGTGGGGTATGTGTTGATTAGCTACAAAACTAATCAAGTAGAAATAAAAGATTCAGTTCAAATAATTTATCCATTTTTTTTTTTATAAAAGATAATTTATGTAAGTTATTTGATTGATTATAGTAATAGTGTATAGATATAAAACAAATGCTATGAACTACGAAACTTGACGATGTTTTATAGACATAACTCACAGGATGTAAATATATAATCTTCTGAAGCAAATATAAAATATATATAACCTTGATGTTTAAATTTATTACACTTCCTACCATTGTATACCAACTTCTCATTCAACATATTATATAATTTTCAGACCATTCAAGTTTCTTATACTATATATTATATAGTTACTTTCACCATTCAAGTTTAAATGAACAAGGGAACAATAATGCGGCATAATTGAACAGATCTGGAATACATGCATAAGAAACTCATCCTAAGAGTTGCAAGGAATTACAAATTATGAACATGTGAATGTTACACATGTGAGCGGTGATGATGAATGTACTGAAAAATAATGAATAAGATTTCAATCTAATTTTGACTTATTCAAATTTCTATGTATATATTTTATTTATTTATTTATTTATTTTTACTTGAAAAAAAAAAAGATTGGAATCCAATTCTTATATATTATACATGCATAATTATGGAGTTCTTTACTAAGGAATAAGATGTAAATTTATTAATATTTTTAAGTGAATGTTCTAAATTCATCACTAATCTTTCAATTGATGTAATTTCAACACCGTACTTATAATTTTAGAGCAAATTTATTATAATATTTTTAATTATGAAACAGTTAGAGAATATTCAACAAAATATTCTGTTGAAAGCTATTTCACAATTCAAAAAACAATTATAAAACGAGATAACACGAAAAGTATAGTCATGAAAATAAAATCTAAAGTTTTCTTTTTATTTTTTTTCATCTTTTATCGTGGTAATTTTTATTATATTGCTACATAATTTGAGTTTTTATTTTATTTTATTTTCTTTTTTGATCACGATACTTTTTACTAATTAATATAATATAACATCATATTTTTTTAGTTGGCCTAGGTTTTTTTACTTGTCATATCGTTTTTAAATTTTTTTAAATAGTAAAACAATTTTTAATGAAATATTTCATAACTATAAAATCTTAACCAAATTTATTAAAAAATTAAAGGTATGAAAGTAAATTTATTTTAAAGTTCAAAATATAATAATATAATTGTATTGATTAAAAAATTAAGAATAAATGAGTATACATATTTTTCGTATTTTAATAAATAAAATAATAAGTTTATACTTAGTTTTTTAATAAAGAAAAAGAATTAATTTTACAATTAATTAATATATGAACAAATAATAATGCCAATTTCGAGTGTAAAAGATGTAAAGCAGGCAGCTGTCGCGAAAGAGAGAGAAAGGGTGAAATATGTTGTTGGGGGGGGGGGGGAATGATAAGCAAGAAAGTCCAAGCGAAGGTGGAAGAGAGAGAGGATGGGATGGGGACGGTACAGTGTCTGCAAATATGAAGCAAAGGCAAAGCTCTGTTAGTATGGCTGTGGGGGCTGTCAGCTATGGCTGTGGGGACTCTGAGATATGAAAGTGAAGTGATATAAGGCGTGCGGTGGGGCCCTGCCACCGCATGCCCAAACCCCTGCACCGCTACCAGTCCATCAATCCGTCTCGTCTTCTTTTCGTGTTTTTTATTTTTTCTGAACTTTTAAAAACTTCTACTTTCATGAAATAGAAAAAAAAAAAAAAACAATTGACGCTTTCACAACAAGTACACTCAAAGCAAGGGGACGACGATTGTTTTTTTTTTTTTGTACTTTGCTTTGATGGGCCCGAAATTGAGAGCAATTTGGGTTAGAAAAACCCCAAAACCAACCCAACCCGACTTGTATGGAGCGATTCGAGTCGTGTAGAATGCCAACACAGATCGGGTCAAGTTGCAATGCGTAGGTCAATTATGGGTTCAGTCGCGTCACGAATCTTATAATAATAGGTTATCAATTTGCTTTTTGTTGTTTAAAGCAAACAGTAGCAATAACATTATTCCACCACCACCAAAGGTCGAAACTTGAGCCATAATAACTTGCTTTCATAATGAACCACATATTATGATGGAGAAAAACGTCTCAACTTGCTCTGAGGAGGAAGAAGACTTGAAAATTCGCAGTGTGAAAAGAACCAAAAATGGAGAGTTCAAATCGTTGGATCTTGAAATGTCTGACAGCCAGCAACCTTCTACTTCTTACAGGGACTTTTTGATGGGTTCTCAGGATAATTAGTCTTTTCTTTTTCTATCAATCAGTCAAGTTTCGTTGATGAAGAATCAGATCAGAAAGCTGAGGAAAGGGATGAAATCCCAACAATACTCTTATTTAAAGAGGAAAAGAAAAGCATCAGAGCCCCTTGGAAGAACGTTATCATCGTCAAAACGTTTGAGAAGAATGTTGGCTACAACTTTCTTTATCCTAAGGTTAGAGGACAATGGAGGCCGAGAGGAGGCATGGAATACATTGACTTAGGACACGATTTCCTTGTCCTAAGTTCCACAATATTGATGACTTCCAACGAGTCATATACGGAGGCCCTTGGTTTGTGGGTCCTTACTACCTGACTATGAGATTATAGAAGCCTGGCTTTCTTCCAGCATCATCTACTGCCTATTCTAGCATCACGGTCTGGGTTCGATTAGCAAGGTTACCTATCGAATATTTTGACAGGGTTATACTTCAAAGCATAGGTCAACAACTGGCACCTATTAAAAATTGACGCTCATATTGAATTGAATGCTCGCGGCAGATATGCACGAACTTGCATTCAAGTCGATTTAGACAGACCTCTGGTGCCAAAAATCAGAATTGGAAAATTAATACAAATGGTACTTTATGAAGGGGTCAATTTATGTTTTTTCTGCGGGCTCATTGGGCACGGGAAAGAAGTCTGCAACTTAAGCAAAATGAAAGTTTCTGAAGCTACCTCAACTCAGCAACCACTAGAACAACATAACGTTCCTGGTAAGGATAGCCCTAAAACGAACTAATTTGGACCATAGATGCTGGTCACATGGAGGAAACACAAACAGGGGAAGGATCACAAGCCGGGTGGAGACGACCCAACACCAAACCCGAAAGGGAAAAAACAAAACCAAGGTGGATTGAGAAGATCCGGTGCAAAACCCGAAAGACAAAGGGAAAGCCAAGTTAAAGAACAACACGTGGCGCATCCTTTCAAAGGGCAAGAAAATCAGTCAGCTGGGAACAGGGGGCAGAACTCTAAAACATTGCATGAGAATAACGTCTCTCATGCATTTACAGGGGGGATTTTGTCACCCAGCACTCTAATTTCTCTAACCCAGGCCAAGCTAGTTCGGTTTCCACTGAACTAACCCTCAGGGTGTTTTCCAATTTTTAAGGCAACAAAGTAATTTTCACAGAAGGTCAGATGCTATCCCAAAAAATAATACTCTAAACTGCCCAACACTAATCAAACCAACTTCCCTCCCTCTTGGAAAATCTTCACGGAGTATACGCAAACCTGAAAACATTGTTCATTCACTTGGGGGAAAGAACAATCAAGATCTCAAGAGCAATTGAGATCCTATTTGACTTTAACCCTCTGGAGGAGGATTGGAGCGAAAAGGAGATCATACAAACATAGAATAACCAGTTAATAGCCTTAGACATCCCCAACCCCCAACCATACCTTCAACTGGTTCAAAGCCAACGACAACAGTTCATATCACAACAAATGGAGCCACTGTCACCACTCAGGGGAATACTACTAACCCAGATAGCGCTATATACAGTCAGGAGGTTATCCTTAACAAAAGATAACAGGGTTGTGATGTTGTGCACGATCCTGCCATCGATAAATCTGGTTAGACTTGTGACACACTTTTGTGTATGCCACACCACCACCATGCGTCGAGCTTAATATGCAAGATGTCGACAGAGGAAGTGGAAGTCATTTCGGAGCTGGCCAACTGACTACTGAACCAAACGATACTTGATATCTTTCCCATAAGGTGTCTACTTTAGAATGCCAAGGGCGCGGGGAGCCCTAACTTTCGTCGACCATTCATGGACCTTATACGTATCAACAACCCTTTTGTGGTGATTATTACTGAAACCATAATTTTTGGTGATAAGGTTGAGAGAATCAGTAGCTTCTTAGGCTTCGACAGTACCTTTGTGTGGATGTTGAGGGTTTCTCTAGAGGTATTTGGCTCCTTTGGCAGTCTACTGAAGTCACAGTCAGGATTTTGTAGCATTTTGCTCAAGTTATCCACACAACTGTTCAGGTTTTATCTAACCCTAATACTTCTAATTCTCATGCATTAAATTCTCTTTCACGTGCATTATGGATGCTCTCGGCTATCTACGCTCGACCTCAATTTGCCATAAGACACCTCCTTTGGGAGGAGCTCTCAGCTTTTGCTCATTCTCATAACCTTCATTGGCTGATGATAGGGGACTTACAATGAAGTTTTAAGTGACTCCAAAAAGCTTGGTGGAAGACCTCTTATTCGATCTAGATGACGGTTTTTCCAAGACTGTATGAATGATTGTGGTATGATCGATCTTGGATTGGTTGGCCATCAATTTACCTAGACAAATACCAACAATTTTGGCCAAATTATCAAGGAAAGACTGGAAAGAGCTTGGGCTAATTGTGATTGGAAAACATTGTACCCCAACTCCATAGTTTTTCATCTGACCAAAGTTCGATCTGACCACAACCCTATCTTCTTTAACACTACCGAAGGATGCCTCGATTTGGGCCTCGCCCTTTCAAGTTTGAATCCATTTGGTTATCCTATGTGGAGTTTAACTAACCTGTTCAAGACACCTGGAATCAAGCTCAAAACTCTCTCATTGAAGCGATATCGTCTTTTAAGGAAACTATAACCCCGTAGAACAAAACTTCTATCGAAAATATCTTTCAGAAGAAGAAAATGATACGGGCTCGCCTTAATGGTATCCAACAAGCTCTATCTTCCTCCCTTTGTCTTTGGCTTCAACATCTGGAGGAATACCTGATGGAAGACTATCAATGGGTTCTCAAACTCGAAGATGAACTATGGGCCCTGAAGGTTAGAGTTAATTGGATCAGTGATGGAGATCGCAACACTAGTTTCTATCATATGACCACTATTTAACACAGAAAACATAACAAGATTCTTGCTCTTAAGGACACTATTGGAATTGGTTTCATGACAAAGAGGGATCAAAACTTTAATCGTTCGTCATTTTAACAATTTGTTCATTACGTCTTTCGATATGAGTGAGCGTAATTGTTATCACACTGAATCCGTTAATCAGTTTCAGCCAATTGGGTTTTGCAATACCATCTACAAGGTCATCACAAAAGTCCTGGTTAACAGAGTTAGACCTTTCCTCTCCCGCATCATCCACCCCTCCAAACTAGTTTTGTTTCTGGGAGGAGAGTTAATGTGATCATTGCCCAAGAGGTCATTCATTTTTTCAGAAAGACAAGAGAAAACCAAGGGCTCATGATGGTAAAATTGACCTAGAAAAAACGTATGATAAGATGGAATGGTGCTTCATCCGGGAAATGCTTTTCTTTTTTCAGTTTTCGTCTCCCTAGATTAACTTGATTATGTCATGTATCTCTTCAACCTCCATGACTATCCTTATCAATGGGGAGCAAAGCTCTAAAGTCACCCCCACTAGAGGAATTTGCCAAGGTGACCCTCTATCACCTTACAATTTCATTCTCTGTATGAAATACATGTCCCTTAAGATCTTAGAGGAATGTGATGAGTGAAATTGAGAGCCTATCCAGTTGTCTAAGAGATGTCCTAAGATCTCTCATCTGTTCTTTGCCACTGATCTTATCCTCGTGAGGAAAGCCACGAATCGTACTTATCCATCAATGCAAAAAGTTTTGACTTATTTCTGTCAAATCTCTGGTCAGACTATTAACTTTGCGAAATCAAACATGTTCTTCACCCAAATTATGGATTCGAACAGAAAGGATTTCCTCAGCAATCTTATGGGAATGGCGCATTTGAATAGCATTGGAAATTATCTAGGCTTCCCTATCTTTGGAAAACGAAGTGCTGCCAAATATAGATTCATCATTGACAAAGTCAAGAAGAAGTTATTGGGATGGAAAGCTTACCTTATCTCTCTTGTTGGTAGAACTACTCTCTTTAAGTCAGTGGTGAATACGATTCTTATGTACTACATGCAAGGTGTGGATCTTCTTGCCAGTGTCTATAAGGAAATTAATAGAGTTAGCAGGAATTTTCTGTGGGGCTTTACAGAAAACCATAAAAAAGTGCACATGGTCAACTGGGGTACCGTTACCTTATCGAGAGAAGAAAGAGGCCTTGGCCTTAAAGATATGAGGAAGCTTAATGATGCCAATATGGCCAAGCCTGGATGGCATTTCCTCACTAAATTTAAGAATATTTGGGCTGAAGTTCTCAAAGCTAAATATTCCAGAAATGGTGAGTTCGCAAGAAAGGCTTGCTCACCCATTTGAGCAGGTATGCGCAAAGGCGCCCTTATTCTTGAGCATGGTATCTGATGGATTATTAAATTACGAGCCCAAGCCTAGTTCTGGTCAGATGTTTGGACTGGACTAGGCCCCCTTAATACATAGATTTTTGGTCGCTGGTGCATTTATGACAAAACCATAGTGGTCAAAGACTTTGTCTTCTCTGAAGGGTTATGGGATTTCCATGTTCTGGTGCTCCTATCCCTGATGAGATTCAAGAGAAGATTATTGCCATCCCCATGCAAATGGAGAATACTAAAGAGGATACTATTGGCCAGAAATTCTCCCAGACAAGCCTCTTCTCTATCAAGTCGGCTTATAACATGCTTAAAGGATGCACTGATGGGAGGAAGAATGAATGGAAAGATATTTGGAGAATTCCGCCTCTTCCCAAGATCCAACACTTCCTTTGGCTTTGCAAATACTATAAAATAGCCACCCGTGAAACGTTATGTAAGAGGGGGCTGCAAGTCAGCCCTTTATGCCCGAGATACAATAGGGAGAGGGAAACTACAGCTCACTGCCTTAGAGATTGCATTGTCACTAGAGATCTTTAGAATGCTCTAGCCATTCCCCTGTACATACTCTCATCCTTCAGTATGGACTTTGAGTGCTGGCTTTCCACTAACTGTAATTCCATTGCTGATTCGAGCATCTCCCATATTCCATGGAAAGTTGTGTTCTCCTTTGCTGTGCGGATGATTTGGCTTGGAAGGAACAAATTGGTGTTACACGAGACCTTTGAAACTATCAGTGGGTGGAAAAGAAACCTGATCAATCGTGTTATAGAGTTTTGGGCTATTTGTGGCTCTGTCAACTGGACTAACATTTCTTGTGAAATTAACATTGGTTGGCAGCCCCCTTTTCAGAAAGCCATCAAGCTCAATATCGATGGATCTACTAAGGGCAATCATGGTAAAGTGGGGGTGGATGGTGTGTTTAGAGATCATTTTTGGCAATTGGATCCTAGGCTTTGCCCGTAACTTGGGATCCATTACCCGTGTGTGTGCTGATGGGGTCTCAAGGATGTGTTGCGCATTGCTTCCAATCGGGGCTACAACAACCTTATTGTGGAGATTTACTCTCAAACCATCTTAAGGTATGTTTTGCAGGGTGTTCTTTCCCATCATTCTTGTTGCTCTATTGTGGATGATTGCAGGTCATTGCCGGGATGCATGCAGAATGTGACGGCGGAACACAACTCTAGGGAGGCCAACTTTTGTGCTGACCAGTTGGCTAAATATGGATCCTTTACGAACTCTTCCTTTCTATTTTTTGAGGAACCTCCTGAACTGTTAGCTCCTTTGTTATTGACTGATGCCATGGGAATTATGTTTCTCATAACTATTTTTGTGTAACCCTGTTGGTGACTTTTGTTTTTGTTTTATGCACCCTTTATTGACAAAAAAAAAAAAAAAAAATCTTGAGCGATTATAACAATGAGATTCTTGTGACAACATCAATAAACCAAAGCCTGGGTTTCATTTGTTTTTTAATTGTTTGGGTTGTAAACATGTGTGCATGGGTTTGATAGTAAAAAACCAGTAGTTAGTCCGTATTTGACTCAATTAATAAAAGTGTTTATCTATTATAAAAACAGATGTTAGGTATTTGACTCTTTCAATTTTAAGATCTTAAGCTTATGTGGGAAATATATTTGAGTTTTTGGATAAAACTATAAATCAAATTTTTTTTTAAATGTACTAATTTTAATAATAATTCTTTAATAATTTTTTTTTTTACATTCTCACCTTACTCTCCAATTATTCACAAAATTATGAAGAGATTGTATTATTTCACATTTATATCTTTATTTTGTCTAAATTTTCTATTGATTTCATTTGTTTTTTTATTCCAATTAACAAAAATATATCTTTATTTTATTTATATTTTTTCACATAAAAACTTGTAATTTAATTTAGCAAAATAAATTATTTTATTTTTTATTTATTAAAAAGATATAAAAACACTATCAAATAATTTTTAATATTTTACAACACTTCTGCATTATTGTCAAATGCTATAATAACTTCTCTTCACAGCAATTTTAAATCAACGGTAAAACTCCGTTTATTTCACATAAATCACATTTTAAAAAATAATTTTGGTAAAATATTGATATTTTTCGAAAAAATAAATATTATTTATTATTTGAATGAATCAATAAATTTTTTTTTGTTGTTTAATTTTTAGGAAAATTTGAACTTTTCAAAATAGTAATATTGACATAATTATTAAACTATTTATTATTAAAATATTAAAATAGTAATATTTTAATAATAGTTATTAAAATATTAAACTTATTTAATAATATCAAAATATGTAAAATAATAATATTTCTTACTAAAACATTATTTATATTAATATTTTAAAATATTTACAATACTAGTATTTATAATTAAAATATTAATTCTATTACTATAAAATAGTAAAATAGTAATATTTATTATTTAAAATATTAAAACATTTTATATATTAAATTGTAATTTTTTTTTACAATATCTTTAATTAAATCATTAAAAGTATATTTATTTATATTTATTATTAAAATATAATATAATAATATGGGTTATTAAAATAGTAAAAATATTATATATTTTTATTCAAAAATATCAGAATAATTAAAATATTAAACATGAAAATATTTACATATTAAAAATTTCTTACTAAAATAGTAATATATTATATTAAATTATATTATTATTAAATAATACAAATAAGATTTAAATTATAAAAATTGTATTTATCTAAATTATTTAAAATAAAAATTATAATAATTAATATAATCAAATAATGATATTTATAATTGAATATTGAAGACATTTATAATAATTTTTAAATATTTTTTAAATAAAATCAAATAAAATCAGAATTTTATTAATATAAAAATATTTAGGATTGCGTGAAGTTAAAACTTAAATAATCAACAAAGCCGGACTCCGATCAAACTCACGAGCTGTAATGAGAAACCTTGGACATGGATAGATTTTTTTGAAAATTATCTCTCCTTTTGGAAATGTAGATGACAAATTTTAAATTTTTCGCTTTATTTTTTATAGATCAAGAAATTATTTTTCATTAGTCATATAATTTTCTGTCAAATAAAAATTTTAAAATATAAAAAATATAAAAAAGTCAATTTTCGTAAAAGAAAGAGAGTCTAAGTGCATGTTTTTTTTGAAAAAAAAAAGTTCAAATCTGTGCCCTCTCAAAATATTATATATAAATTAAAAGAAACCGTTGAAGGAAAAATACAGGACAAACACCACGCATGAGAATGAGCTAACAGCTTAGCCTAACAGGCTGTGACACCACAATAAGTAGCCAATTTTTATAAATTATTAACAAAACGAGGAAGAAGATGGATTGGAATCTGGATGCAATGAGTTTTACAAATAAAAAATTAACAAGTTAGTTAATAAAGCCTAGTTGACATGATAATTTTAAAACTATTAGTAAGTTTCAAACCAGTTATCACCTTGATGGTTTTTTATTGATTGGTTGATCTTGAGAGTTTTGAACAATTTTACACGGTTCATCATCACACGTGATGTATCACATTTTGACTTGATTTGATTGGATGATTAATGCGTTAATTATTTTGTAGCCAATACAAATCAACAGAGAAGGTTTTCACTATATTATCACAAATATATAGTCGTCATCCACTTGATATTCTTTTATATGAAAAACTATATTTACTTAAAAAATCTGTATCTATCAAAACTCAAGACAGTTTGAAACAATACAAGACTGAAGATAAAACCAACAGTGAAAAACCAGGAACTAACCCACCTGGGAATTGACTTACAGTCTGGGAAATGGTTTTGGCATCTGCCTGTTGGATTGTATTTTTATGCATAAAGGCTATAAATACTTCCACAAAATGCTATCACATTCCACCAAAACCCAATTCCAGTTTAAAAAAAAAAAAATTTCTTTTAAACAAGCTTTAAATTGTCATATTTTGTGTTTCTGATTATAAAAAGAAGAAGATCAAAGATGTCGTGCACTGCTGGTCAGGTGATACGCTGCAAAGGTAAAACTAATGCAAAGAATTGTGTCTGGTCTTTTTGTTTTATTATTATTTTTCAAGTTATTTATTTTGGAACTTAATTTCTAACTTTTCTATTGTTTGGCGTGTTAAAATTTAAGCTGCTGTTTCATGGGAGCCCGGGAGGCCATTGGTGATAGAGGAAGTAGAGGTGGCACCACCACAGGCAAATGAAGTTCGTTTGAAAATCCTTTTCACTTCTTTGTGCCATACTGATGTCTACTTCTGGGAAGCCAAGGTAACAGCCTAATTTCAAATCAATCAACAAACATAAACCACAGAATTTCCTTTTCTTTTCAGTTTTCACCAATTCAATTTTATCATAGTACCAACGAATAGACTTGCGATCTATCCTGCAGGGGCAGAAACCATTATTTCCTAGAATTTATGGTCATGAAGCAGGAGGGTATGTAGCTTATGCACCAATTTGATCTCAGTGGCCCGTTCTTCTGTATATTGTAGTAGTTTCATCATTCGTACTCTTTGATTTATATGATTTCATGGATAATCCAGGATTGTATAGAGTGTTGGTGAAGGTGTGACAGACCTCAAACCAGGTGACCATGTCCTGCCTGTATTCACAGGGGAATGCAAGGATTGTGCTCACTGCAAATCAGAAGAAAGCAACATGTGTGACTTACTTAGGATTAACACTGACAGGGGTGTTATGCTTAATGACGGAAAAACAAGATTTTCAATCAATGGCAAACCTATCTACCATTTTGTTGGGACTTCCACCTTCAGTGAGTACACTGTGGTTCATGTCGGTTGTCTTGCCAAGATCAACCCCTTGGCTCCTCTCGACAAAGTTTGTATTCTCAGCTGTGGAATTTCCACAGGTAAAGAGACTTCTAAGGCTTTTCTACACATTCTGTTAATTATTTGGCGGACGATTGATACCAACTCAGAAAATTTTGGTTTTTTCTTCTGTAGGAATTGGTGCTACTCTTAATGTTGCAAAACCTCCAAAGGGTTCAACTGTGGCTGTTTTCGGACTGGGAGCTGTGGGACTTGCTGTGAGCATCTCTCTTTCTTTCTGCCATAAACAAATTTTGCCTTTCATTACCCCGATAATTTAAGACGAGGCATCAAATTGTGGTGTTTCAATGTGATTAGGCTGCTGAAGGGGCAAGGATTGCTGGCGCTTCAAGGATTATTGGCGTTGATATTAACTCAAACAGATTTGAAGAAGGTAAAAGCCATACTGCAATATTTCTTTAGCCAGTTAATTACTGGCTCTAGTTCAACAATTTTTTTTTCTCTTGAATGATTTGAGCAATAATCAAATTGATTTAAGAGAAGATTTTAACACATCAATATATCAGTTTGTAGATGAACTTCAATTGTCATATATTGCTGAGATTTTCATTTTCTTTTCAGCTAAGAAATTTGGTGTTACTGAATTTGTGAACCCAAAAGACTATAAAAAGCCGGTTCAGGAGGTTTGTGTACGAGCCTTTCGGGTTTCTAATGGTATTTCTTTAGCTACATCTGAAGATGTTGTGCTAACGAATAAACTTATCCTTTGCGTGTCAGATGATTGCCAAGATTACTGATGGCGGAGTGGACAGGAGCGTTGAATGTACTGGAAATACTGATGCTATGATTTCTGCATTTGAATGTGTCCATGATGTACGTTCATAGACTTCATTTCTTCTCATCTAAACATGTATTTGATCCCTACATTGTTTTCAACCGAACAAGTGAAAAAAAGGGTTATCACTTATTAATATCATGCCTGATCTTAGTTTGAAAAGGCTTGTCGTTTTCACCCTTTTTTCTCTCAAACACTAATCAATCCCAAGCAATGATTTCAGGGCTGGGGTGTTGCCGTTCTTGTGGGGGTGCCACACAAAGATGCTGTGTTCAAGACCCACCCTATAAACTTGTTGAATGAAAAGACTCTCAAAGGTACCTTCTTCGGAAACTACAAACCCCGTTCCGATCTTCCCTCAGTGGTGGAAAAATACATGAACAAGGTAAAACTAGCTGTGATGAAGTCAATCATCGATTCCAATCTTTAGTAAACTTGACCATAACCAGAGGTTTTTGTTTTTTTTTTTGGTTTTGTCCAATGCTGCAGGAACTTGAACTAGAGAAATTCATCACGCACTCAGTACCATTCTATGAGATCAACAAGGCTTTCGACTACATGCTTAAAGGAGAAAGCCTTCGGTGCATCATCCGCATGGAGTAGAACCGCGATAGTGTGTAAATAGAATCAATAAACCATGTCTTTATGACATTTTTGTGAGCTTGAATGTCTTCAACTACATATTTTTCTGTGTGCTAAGCTAATTTACAGATTTCAAAAGTTTGATATAGTCTGTGAATAGTGTTTATTAATCGGCTTTTATGTAGATATATATAAATGAATGCTGATGGTAATAATAAACAAATTTCACCTGCAAATATCTGGACCTGCTTCTCCTTTGGTTTTGTTTATTCTATTTATTTCTAATTATAATTGACCGAAATTAAATTTTTTTTTTTTTTAAAGTTGCAGGAGTTTTGAGGTTTGACACCCAGTGAATCTTTCGAGAAGGAAGCAAATAATGGGTTGATAGGTTTCTCCACACATTCTAGTACACCGTATATTTTCAATCCTTGCTATATCATATAAAGATCCTGAAACATTGTTCATAACAGATCTTCCATACACTCAAATTCAAGCTTTCTTAAGGTTAAAAAAATGACAGCGGAAAAAAAATTACAATCTCGCTATGCTAAACATGACCGCATGACAATGTGGCTATGATAAATAAATGCAAACCTTACTTAACAGGTTTAATGATACCTGCATTCTCACTCAACCTTAGAACACGTTAAAAAACCCATAATTGAACTCTTTTACAAGATCTTAATCTCAGGTATGTTGATAGAATGAACTATTAGTTCCAATTGTCATAGTTCAAATCTTGGGATTAATAAACACTTAATTTTAATTATTATGATTCAAATTTTGATATATATATATATATAAGTAAACATTCGTACCGCCACATAAGTTTGCCATTGTGCAGAAAGAAAGGAAAGAGCCGCTATTCCATGGCATAAACTCGCAAAAATTTCTCAAAATAAAAATAAAAATAATAATATACATTGTTAATTTTAATTTATTTCCAAGTTGATCGGGTAATTTTGGTAGTACAACCAAGTCCAATATCTTGACATCAAGACTATCATCAATGCTTGGAGTGCCATCTGTGCCATCCACACCAATTAAGTTGCCCGTAACACCACGTAGTGAGCCACCCATGATTTTGATCTTGTCTGATTTCCTAGGTGGTACCACCTCCGTCTCACTAGGTAGGACGATTACTGTATCGCTACTGCCATTTGACCCGAGAGCCCCCTTACAAGACCCATCCTGTATCATCATGTACTATCAATTATCAAATTAACTCTTCTTTATAATAATTTTTTGAGACACTCCAATTAGAATCAACATCTGCTACACATGTTATAATATGCTTCACCCATAGTAGAGGTTTCGACAAGAACTTGGTCCAATCATGAGGTCTACAAATAACAGTTCATTTTTGTTGTATGGAACACGTTAGCAAACACTTGAGACTGGACTGAAATGCAATTATTTCATGAGGAAATACGTGGACGGCCTGTGCAACTTTACTCCACAGATCTATTCGAAATATATAATCATTAAGACAATTATCAATTATGTAACTGTAATCAAAAGTAAACCAAAATTATTTCAATTCTCAGTGCTGAAGTGATACTTGATATCACGTGGGAGATATACAAAATTGAAGCAAAGAAAAATTACATTAACAAATGTGTAAATACCACTTATAATCCTTACAATTTAAGCTAAATTTTATTTTGATTCTTAATCTTCAATAGGGATGTTATTCTTACTCATTTCCAATGAAAAACTTGATTTTTCATTCAAATGGAAATAAATATGAATATTATATTATAAGTATGAGAATGAAAATGAAAAATGAATATAATTTTAATTTTTATTAAATACAAAAATAGAAATAGATAATATAGCATCCGTTTCGTATCTGTACCCTATATATATTTTTATATATTTAGTGTATAAAATTTTTATTAAATAATATAAATTATTATTTTAAATTAATTAAAATTAATATATTTTTATTAAAAAGTATATGTTAATATATTTATAAAAAATTATCTAAATATAAAAGACAAAAATAAAAAAGTTTTAAAAAATTTTAGTTTTTAGTATTTTTTTAAGCTATGAGTATGAAAATTATCTATATCTATTAAATATATAAAGGAATGAGAATAAAAATAAATTTAAAATATCTTTTGGGTATGGATACGAGAATGGAGAATGCTCTACCTTATCCATACCTTACTCATTGATAGCTCTAATCTTCAAAAAGTTATGATTAAGTAAAATTATCATATTTTGGTTTTTAGTTTTTAGAACCATCTAAATTAATGATAAATGTCACTTATCACCAATAGATGACTGGTATTTCATATAACAAATGATAAAACCAAAATGAAATTCCATTCAAAGTTTAAGGATCAAATATATTATTATTTCAAAACTTCATATTTTTTAAAAATATTAAGTAAAATTTTCAAATCATTTTAAAAAATTATTTATTAATCTGTTCATAATATTTTTTATTGGAAAATTATTTTGTATCTATTTTTTACTCAAATTTTATATCCATACAAAATTAAAACAAATAGATAATTAAATTCGCCCTTAACACCTCCAACTTAATAAAGAGAAAGAAATCGAGTTATTGAAAATAATATTTTTTATTTTAGATAAAATATAAAATTTTTAATAAAAAAATATATTCAAAAAAAATTTTTTGATAGAAAATATATTTTTTAATAAGATTAACAAATCTATTTTTTAAAATGATATAAAATTTTTTACTTAATATTTTAAAATAATGTGGAGTTTTTTTTATTTAATTCTTTAAACCAATACAAAATTTTTTAGTTAATTTTTTAAAATAATATGGAATTTTCTTGAAAAGGATTTTCAAAATTTTAACTAAATCTATTTTCTATTAAAATAGTATTTTACTGATAAATAATATCATAATAAAATGAGTTTCTAAAAAAAGATTTTGGATTAGTTTAAAAAATTGTCTGAATATTTTGGGATGTTCAAATTCCATTCAAACATTTATCCTATCAATATGTTTTGACATTGTCCATTTGTCTATTACCCTTTATAGACTTATTCTTGCATTGAATATGCATTGAATATCCATTTTCTTTAAACTACTTTGTTTCTCACCATTGTTACTTCCCCATTATAAGAAAATATATGATGAATCGTATTTTTCATGAAAATGGAATGATGATAAATAATTGGAAAAATACATAAAAGATCCCCACATTACTTCAAAAAGAAAATCGATAATGTCAAAATGAAGATAGTGTGATGAAAGAAATTTATGAAAATATTGATCCACAGAACTTTCAAAAGAATAAGAATCTTGAGCAAAGTTCAGATTTGGTGAAATGATTTTTTGGAAGGTTAATAATAGTTATGAAGATACCATTTTTAAGGATGAAAAATGATAATCTTGAGAATCTTTTTACCGCAATAATGGATGCATTCATTGCATTTCATTCATGACATTCACCGATCATTACCAATAAGAAGTTTGAATTAGCAAATTGATGAGAATTTTTCAAGTAAATGAATTTTGAAATAGTAAGTCCTTGGTTAAAAAATTTTTTTAGAAGATAATCTTTGATTGAGAAAAGGATAAGACTTTAACTCTTGATTGAAAAGTTTCACGAAATGTTCCTATCTCAAGGAGTGTATTTTTAAAGAATTAATAGGATTTGTAACCCTCCGAGCATGATCATTAAAACCTACAGTTGTTATTTTCAAGATCTTTTGATATCATATTTCAACTTAGGCTCAGACTTAGTTATTTTTTACCTCAATTCAGTCCAAGTCATTTAATTTTCTAACTTGTGGTTCAGTTCTGGTCACTTATTTTAGACCTTGGTTCAGTCCAAGTCATTTAATTTTCTTACTTGCGGTTTAGTCTTTGTCACTTATTTTCAACCTCGATTCAGTCTAGGTTATTTAATTTTCTAACTTACGATTCAGTTCTGCTCACTTATTTTCAACTTTGGTTCAGTCTAGGTCATTTAATTTTTTAACTTACGGTTCAATACCGATCACCTTCATTTTCAACTTTGGTTTAGTTTGGTCACTTATTTTCGACTTCGATTTAGTCTAGGTCATTTAATTTTTTAACTTACGGTTCAGTCTCAGTCATTTATTTTTAATCTCAATTCAGTTCGAGTCAATTAATTTTTTGATTTACGGTTCAGTCTCGATCACTTATTTTTTACCTCAGTTCAATCCAAGTCATTTAATTTTTTGACTTGCGATTTAATCCTAGTCATATATTTTTTACCTCAATTCAATCCAAGTCATTTAATTTTCTAAGTTATAGTTCAATTTTGATCACTTATTTTCGACTTCGGTTCAATCCAAATCATTTAATTTTTTGAATTGTAGTTTAGTCTTAATCACCTTCATTTGTGACCTTAACTCAATCCGATCACTTATTTTTTTTTATCTCACTTCAGTTTAGGTCATTTAATTTTTTGACTTATGGTTCAGTCTTGGTCACCCTCATTTTTGACATTGACTTAGTTTGATCACTTTTATCTTTGACCTTAGTTTAGTCCGATCACCTTCATCATTCAATTTTTAGCTCAGTCCAAATATATATATATATATATATATTCTCTTTTCAACTTTAGCTAAGACTAAGTCATTTCATTTTTTTACTTCGACTAAGTCCAAGTCATACTATTTTCTAACTTTGGCTAGAATCAAGTTATTTTATTTTCGACTTTAGTTTAGACCACGTTATCTCATTCTCTGACCATGGCTAAATCTGAGTCATCATGTTTCAACTTTTTGGTCCACCCAAATTATCATTTTTTACTTTTGACCATATCTAAGTCATTTCATTTTGACCTTCGGTTAGATCCAAATTCGGACCAAAATGTAATAGGTTATCTATGTCATTGCATAATTCTTATTGCATAGAAAATGTGCAAAGAAGGATAATTGTAGACACCCTATTTTGTTTGGGGCTCAAATCAATTGGGCCTAAATCAATTGAACCCAAACCAATTGGACCCAAATCAATTGGGCCCGGACTTAACCAAGCCCAATTATCCAATTTTCTAAAT